TTAAACATTCCTAAACTGCAGATAAAAGTCCCTAAAGTGGCTTTTGAGTAAGCCTAATTAATTCCTAATTGGCTAATTAATTCCGAATTTCCTAATTAATTCCTAATTGTTTGTAAATTCGCTCTTGCAGATTCAACTTTTTACGGTACAGTTTGGTCATAAATACTGAAGTATACAGCCTGGTTGTCTTCAGTTCATCGGTTTGGAATGCCAATCAATTTTTTTCCGTTTAGATAGCCTTTTTTCTCCTCTTTATGCCTAGTGACGAAGCCGCTTAAGTTGGCGGGGAACATCTTCAATGAATAAATTCATAAGGCAAAAAATCTTTTACCCGTCGTTGGCTGTTTTGGAGGAGACTGAGGTCACATTTTTCTGAATTATTCAGGGAATCTGACGAAGTTTACGAACACTGTGTTTCAGTTTCAAACCCGTGAGTTTCGAATGGCCCAATTTAGCTTGTACATTTTGTTTCATAATATAGATCACGTGACTTGCGTTCTCTCGCCTTTTTCATAGATTATGCGAAAATACGCTCGTGACTAAAACCGGAAATTTAATTGAAAGAAACGGTTTTCTGGGGTATTTATACATATATGTACCCTTTCTTTACGATTTTTCGGTTTCTCATCAATCGAACTGTTGTACATGTTGTCCTTTTAATGAAAATATCATCTAATGAGGAAGTTCGCCTCGCAAGGAAACTGCAATTAGACAAGTAAGTGTAAATTTGTGCGAATGTGTAACAACTATCAATAGGGACTAGATAAAAATAATAATGGCATTTGCATGGGCGTTTGAAATGGCGAGTCGAATTAGTGGAGATCTTGGCCCAAGGATCAAAATTTTATGAGCAAGTTAACACTGTTTGCTAATTCTTTTTATTGAGCTAAAACGTGTCTAATTCGCATCATTTGAACTAAGAAATAATGGTCCAGTTTTGTTGCTACTTCAGACAAAACTTAGGCATTGAAACTGTATCCTGTCGTCTGTTGCTACGGATGGCAATGACGGACATGGATTCAAACTTCAGAAAAATTGCACCCTTTTATTCACGTTTTAATACAACATTTTTTCAAGTTTTTATCCTATGGCTGCAAAATCACCAAAAAATTATCAAAAGTAGGTTGAGTTTGATCGTTTGAGGGTGAACGTAGTCCTGAATAGGACTGTTGTTGTTGACAGTGACTGACGTTTCGACGACCTGTGCGGTAGTCATCTTCAGAGTCAAAAAATTATGTTAGTGTTCGCTGATGAAACTTGTTTGACATCTTCACAATTCTACAGTAGGTAATTTGTTTTGTTTTTTTTTTTT